TTTCAAAAACAAGCGAAAGGACAATTCATCAGGAAATTCTCTAAATTAAAAGAAATTTAAAAATAAAAAATAAAGTATACCAGAACTTAAATTTGAAGAGCTGAAATCGAAATTGAAAATGATAATAGAAATATATAAAATCTAATGTGAACTTAATAACGATGAATAATACCAGATCCGACTCCATACGAAAGAAAGTGAGCGATAATGGCGAAAAATACTAGGTCTGACTATGATAGAAGTTTTCAAAACAAAATTTTCATAAAAAAATGGCGAAAATTGGTTTTGAAACGAATAAATTAAGCAAAATATACAAACAATAATCTATTACCATGGCTAAACGAAAAATCAAAAATTAAAAAATGTTTAAAAACAAGTATTATAAGAAATTCAGGTTTTTAACTAAGAAAAAAAATGAACATCAGATAACTAAAACTCAAAGATCAGATCTGCTCAAATAAACTAATAAACTAGAAAGAAAAATTAAGGGAAAAAACCCCTATTTTTTGCGCCGCATCTAAGAGCAAAATAAGAAAAAAATTGAAAAAGGGGATCGAGGAATCGAAGAGCTTAATTTAAATTCCATAATTTTGCTCTATTTGTTTTGTCATTCCTCTTTCCTTTTCTTTGTTAATTGCTGCTCAAATTGAATTGTTGCTAGCTATTTGGCTTGAAGGAATTTGTTAGGGTTTGAAGGAGGAGAAAGAAAGAGACGAGAGAGAAATAGGGAGGAAATGAGTAGGGTAAGGCCGGGTAACTAGGGAGTGAATGAAGAGGAGAGAGAAGTTAAAAAGAGAAAAGGAGAGTGGTGGACGTGTAACCTAAAAAACAGGAGACCGGTTTTTAATGTTAACAGGTCTATCTATCAAAACAAGAGACCAGATTTCTCAATAGGCGGTCTCTGGTTTATTTTGATAAATTATTTTTAAAAAAAAAAACATACAAGAGACCCGTTGTCTTAAATAAGTGGTCTCTCGAATACTTTTACCATTCCAACACTAAAGTTAGAGATCCGTTATTAATAATAAACGGTCTCTTGGATCAAAGAGACCGCTTATGTAGATAACAGGTCTTATATAGTGGGTCTCTTTGGCCAATTTTGTAGTAGTGGAAACAGAATGAGTAAAGGAAGAATTTAAGTCTTATATGACGAGGTTAAGTTTGTGGGGGTGCCTTGTGCACTCAAGGTGTTTATACATCGAGGTAATTAAAGGATTAAATAATAAATGTTGCTTGTCACTAATAAATCAAGAATTTTAAATTTGAAAGTTTGCTTTACTTGATTGAATTGCTAATGGATTGATTGTGTTGTTTGCAAATGAGTCATCGCCAAATCTAAACTATTAAATCACGTAAAGTGCAAGATGGATGAGCAATACAACTCTAGATTAGTGCACATCTGGAGTAATGACAATTAGGGGTTGTGGTACACGGGGTATTAGCCGTGCACTTTTCTCGAGGCCGTCTGATCTATGAGTCTCTTATTTTAAATAATTTTCAAAACTAGGAGTTAGATGAGATCTCATACTAGCTACGGTCACAGAGTCACGCCCGTGGTTGTTGGATGTTGTATTGATGTTTCCGAAAGGAGGCATGGGATTTTCTTTAATTGATGTTCCAAATGGAGCATGGGTTGGACAACCTTGTCTATTGCTTAATCCAATGAATAAAAATGATGAGTTAACTACATTTAACTAGTGGAGTCTTAGTAAATTGATAGTTGAGTCATGTGTTGAGTCTACAAAATTAATGATGTGTGATGATTGATTATTAGTAGCATGCTAGGAATTTCTTATTATGTTTCGTAGCTTGTATGTACTCAGTTTTGCTGATTGCGTGCTTTGTGTGTCTTTCTTTGGTCATTGCCTTATGATATGTCTATTTTATATAGTGTTTTACCCCGTCCCTTGGTCATAATTAGTAGTGTTTTTGGCTCTTTAGAGCCACTTTTATTACTAATTGGTGTTTTATAGTGTTTTCGTAGATTTGGTTGACTTTTGTAGGGATTTGCACTTTTGGAGAAATTTTCCCGGGATATTATGAAGTGACTACTAGCATTGGAGGAGCACGACTAGTTTTTATAGCCTGGGGCCGGTTAGAGTCATCGAACCGGTGATTAAGGGCATAGCATTTGAGATTCTTAGGCATTTGGACCGAGTATTCAAGACCCGGAGAGGAAATCCAGACTGGGCCGAAGAATCGGAGCCCAATCGAAGTCCAAAACGTGCCCAAGTGTCCGGGCCCGGCTAAATAGGTACCGCCCGAATGCGCGCCCGACCGGGCGAGGAAGAGTAGTTCGCGCCCGGTCGGGCACGAGAGATGCTTATGTTGGAGAAAAGGCAGGCCCGATCGGGCAGCCCTTCGGGCACGAGGTTTTTAGTAGCTAATTCTGGCGATATATCTTAGTATTAATTAGGAGTAAATATTTTTGGTATAAATACGATTTTAATGTCTTTTTTTAACATCTCTTCTCTTGGACTTTCTCTCTCTACTTAGTTTTAGATTAGTTTTTCTCTCTACAACTTTGTTCTTAATTCAACTCCTTAATTCTAATTACTTTGGTAACGATTTCTTCTACTTTAATCTCAGTTATTTACTTTATTTCTTTCATCATGTCTTGCTTAATTACTTTGTTTAGTTTATATTTAATTATGTCTGAGTATTTTTATTTCTAGGGTTTGTGGGGATCCATAAATAATATGAAGGGTAATTTATTGTTGTTGATTGTCAATGCTAGATTAATTTCCTATTGATTGATTTAATGCTTTGTGACTAGATTAGGCCTGATCTTTTATGCATGAGTTTGACAATATTGATTCGAGATTCGAGAGATGAAAATTGATGTTTAGTTCTAGTTTCAATAGGCAAGTTAATTTATAAATGGTTAAGTCGAGATTCGAGAGATGAGATTTAATACCGGTAAATTAATTCGGTAAATTAATTCTGTGATTGTAATACGTAGCGAAAGCCCTTTATGATCTGATTAATTTATGCATTGATGATTGATTTTAATGTTTTACCTTTGAATATTGTTTATTGGTGAGCCTATGCCCTAGGTCTTTTATTCATTGATTTTCTCTATTCTTACTCTTCCCTACTTTTACTCTTAGTAGTTTAGTTATCCTTCAATTACAATATTTTGGTTACTTAATAATTTAGATTATAATAACTAATTAGGAATAGAAAGACTTGTTTCCCTGTGGATTCGACCCTACTTCCCTATCTGCATTAGCTAAAGGATTTAGGAATTACTTTTGATTGGGTGATACGACTTTAGCCTGTCACCTTCGCCTTTCAATGACCTTATGACGATCCAATTTTTACACTTGTAATATTGGGGAGCAGATTAACCACAGGTTCTTATACATGTAGCATCCGTATCTAGGTGGTGGGATCTTGATTGAAGTGTTGGTTGCTTTTCTTATTTTTATTGCTGTTTACTTTTGAAGTTACTTAAACTTAATTTTACTTTCATACTACTTCTATTGGTTTGAGTTTTGAATAAGGGTCTTAATGGTTCCAAGTTGTAAGATTTAATTTGGTTTTGAAACTTATTTATAACTGATTTAGTTTTTTCGCTGCTATTTTCTGGTATAGCCTTAACGTTTGAACACGTGGCGGTAGCAAGCTAGTAATTCTCTTGAATATTGTTCAGGATTCTCACAGGTTTAAAGAGAGAATTATTGGGGTGTTACAGGGCCGACAACAACAGCAGCCGTGGGAGGTGGCGCCAACCACCCTCCCTTTTCCCCTTGTGTTTGCGTGTGTTTTGTAAAAAAATTAATTCCTTTTGTTTTTAATCCTAAATCTAATTATTGTCCTTGGGTTTTGTGAGGATTTTATGATGTTTGATTATAAGTATGATGTATATAAATTTTCATATTCGGTTTTGATTTAAAAAGCCCCAAATTTCAACCACTAGATCTCTAAGTTTATGAATATTATTGGTGAAAAAGCCCCAAATTTCAAACCTTAGATATCTCCTAAATAAGAATCTTAAATGACACATGTCACATGTGATTAAAAAAAATTATTATAATACATATAAGAAAATTTATAAAAAATAAGTTAACTTAAAAAAAAAAAAAAAAAAAAACTCAAGTGTAAATATCTCACAAAATATTATATAAATTTATAAAAATTAAACTTATATAAATAAAATTAAAATATATGATTTTAATCGTTAGAGATATATGATCTTATCCCACTGTAAAAAATTTTTAATAATTAAAAAAATTTAACAACAACAAAAAATCTAAACTAAAACAGGGACACGTGTCAGCTTTGGAGCTAGTGTACCCTGTTTTAGTATACACCCTCCGTCCCCGAAAGAACGACCCATTTGGATTGATTTCGCGGGTATTAAGAAATTTAATTTGCAAGTACAAATGTATGGAAAAACACATGTCAGCAATAATTTGCAATTAATATCTGGAGAGAGAAAGTCCTAGAAGTAAGTTTTTATCTTTCTCCCATGCCTAATAAACATAAACATGATGTAATAATACACTAATTCATGTGATGCTTTATTAGCCAATAAGATTACGGGGCGTTTGGTAGGAGGAATGGGATTAAGTGGGATAAGAAGGTGGGATAAAAAAAAGGTGGAATTAATAGATGAGATAAAGATAAAAATAGTGTATTCCATTGTTTGGTATGGGTTGGGATTGGATTGGAATAACTAATAAAAATACAAAAATACCATTACTATCCTTTCTTCACCCTCTTTTTCTTTCTCTTTCATTAAGGGTAATTATGTCTTTTACCCATTAAATTTAGTCTCCATCCCTTATACCACCCCCTTAGTTACTAATTTAGAGAGATAACTCCCTTTTTTAATCCACATCCTATCCCCTTCATAATCCCCATCTCTCTAGACAAACAAAAGACTTGTTTAATCCCTCCTCTTTTATCCCTCAAAACAAACACCCCCTTAAAGTATTGTTTTACAACAACCAATATAATTAAATTATACAAGATTGTCAAACTGACATTTTTAAAAGGAAGGGAAATGAATAGATGTTGGGAAAAACAAATGGGTAAAAAAATTTTCGACTAAAATTAGGTCAAATAGGTCATTATTTCAGAGACGGAGGGAGTAGTATCAAGTAGATTAATTTGACTTTAATGTTTTTTTTTTTTTTTTTAAAACACATTGATTTGACCTCAATATAAAAGCACTTTCTTCCTTAAAAAAAAAAAAAAAAAAAAAAAAAAAAAAAAAAAAAAAAAACCACTTTCTTACTCGTAAAAAAAAAAAAAAAACCTCTCATACGGTAAAACTAGTACTGTAAACAAATTCACCGTCTCCCATGCTATTTCATTACTGGCTAATCGCTTGGCACAATCAATAATTAGTTAATCACTTTTTTTAAAAAAAATTTTTTTACTCTTCATCTTTTTCACCGTTACACTTTCGATACTTGTACAAAGACTACCCTAAACATAAATACCATACTTATAGGAGTATTTTTATAACCTGAAGTTTAAATTTCCAATACATGTAATAAATTACAATTAAATTATTACTGTATAAGGTATTTCACAACCACTATAAATAACAGCCCTTCACACTTCTTCTCCCTCACCAAATCACCCTTCCATCTTCTTCTTCATCATCCTTTAACCTAACAACTTTTTCTTCTGCTAAAAAAAAAAAAAACCCAAAAAAAATGTCAGTAGAAGCTTTAGCAACGAATTTCTCATTGCTACCAACAGCATCATCCCTTCTTTCAGCACCCATTTTCCTTTCATTTGCAGCATTTCTGTCCCTTTTCACCATATTCCTGTACCCAGGTGGCTTAGCATGGTCTCTTTCCGCTGTCAAAAACAACCGAAGCGGCAACGGTAAGTCCGCTTCGGCTATCCCTGGACCAACCGGGTTACCCCTTGTTGGTCTCGGCCATGTTTTCGCTTCCGAAAAAACTCACCGAATTTTATCCAGTGTTGCTACAAGCCTTAAGGCTACGCCCTTGATGGCTTTCTCAGTCGGGTTGACTCGCTTTGTGATAGCAAGTGAGCCAGAGACTGCTAAAGAGATTTTGAACAGTTCTGAGTTCGCTGATCGTCCTATTAAGGAGTCGGCTTATGAGCTTCTCTTTAACAGGGCTATGGGCTTCGCTCCCTTCGGCGATTACTGGAGGAATCTCCGTAGGATATCCGCAACATACTTGTTCAGCCCTCGAAGAATCTCCAACTTCGGAGGATTCCGTCAGGAAATCGGTAACAAGATGGTCAGCCAGATTAACACTTTGATGGGTGAAGAGGGTAATGTTGAGATCAAAAATGTATTGCATTTCGGATCGTTGAACAATGTTATGATGAGTGTGTTCGGAAAGAGTTACGATTTCTTTGGTAAGAGAACCGAGGAAGCTGATAACCTTGAGGAGTTGGTGAAGGAGGGTTATGAATTGCTGGGTATTTTCAACTGGGGTGACCATTTTACCCCTCTAAGGTGGTTGGATTTACAAGGAGTAAGGAGAAGGTGTAAGAATTTAGTTGGTAAGGTGAACAAGTATGTTGGTAATGTGATTGAAGAGCACAGAGCATTGAGGAGTGAGAAGGTTGATGATGATTCAAAGGATTTCGTTGATGTTCTTCTTGATTTGGAAGATGGAGAGAACAAGCTTTCTGACTCTGACATGATTGCTCTTCTTTGGGTATGCATTTATTTTTGTTAATTTCATGTTCTTTTTGTCTTGATCATGTTATAATTGTTGTTCATTGTATGTATACTATTTGAAATGGTATAGGTTTAATATGTGCCATTTTGGTGAGTTCGTATAATTTGTGTTTTGTGGGTTCATATTATTCGTTTACATTTGTTTATAATCATGTGCTGTTTGTTGGGTTTTGTGGGTCCTTTTCCATGTATGTGCCCTTATATCTCTATCATACTTCCTCCGTTTTTTTTTTTATTACATCATAAGGGTTTTGGAGGCAAAATTTGGTAGTGGGAAAAAGTAAGAGAGAGAAACGTAAAAATACAAAATTGTCCATGTAATGTAAGATAAAATAAAAATAAAAAGTAAGTGTGAAAAAGTAAGGGTATATTGGGTATTTGCAGTGTGAACATAGATATTTTTTATCCTAAAAATGAAATGATGCAATAATAAGTAAACTTCTTAAAGTAGTAAGTGATGCGATAAAAAAAATTTTTTTTTTTTTTTTTTTTACATCAATATGATGTTTATGTTGAGGATAATGTATGTTTTCTTTTAAATGAGTTTGTATTAGGGCATCTAATTAGTGCGTCTTTTATCATCATCTATATATGTTTTATGTTTTCTAATTTGTTCATTTTCGAATGCAGGAAATGATCTTTAGAGGAACAGATACAGTTGCAATCCTATTAGAGTGGACTCTAGCAAGGATGGTGGTGCACCCTGACATTCAAGCCAAGGCTCAAGCCGAAATCGACAGCGTAGTCGGAGCCAACAGGCAAGTCGCCGACTCAGACCTCCCCAACCTACCATACCTCCAAGCCATCCTCAAGGAGACATTGAGAGTCCACCCACCAGGCCCACTTCTATCATGGGCTCGTCTTTCCATCCACGACACCCACGTGGGTCCACACTTTGTCCCAGCCGGAACCACCGCTATGGTCAACATGTACGCCATCACCCACGACGAGAAGATCTGGTCGGACCCCAACGAGTTCAAACCCGAGAGGTTCATGGAGGAGGATGTTCCAATCATGGGTTCAGACCTGAGGTTGGCACCTTTCGGAGCAGGACGTCGTGTCTGCCCCGGAAAGGCAATGGGTATGGCTACTGCTCAGCTGTGGTTGGCTCAGATGCTTCAGAACTTCAAGTGGGTTCCGACCGAGGACGGTGTGGACTTGACCGAGTGTCTCAAGCTTTCAATGGAGATGAAGTCGTCTTTGGTATGCAAGGCTGTTCCTAGGATCTCTGCTTAAATCAACTAGTCTGTTTATGATATGAAGGTTATGGTATGTGTGTGCTATAATAGCCACTATTAGTAGTTTTAATTATGGACTAACATAAGTGATTTAGCTTGCGAACTAAGTAGTTTCCGAGCTTTTAGGTGGTAGTAGCTTCCTATGTAATGTGTAATCGAAAACCAAAAAATTAATGTTAATTTTCTTTATTAGTGTATGGTTTGGTGTTCTTATTTTTCTCCCTTAATTTTTCTTTCCAATTTTCGCGGCTATTTGAGAAAATAATTCAGCACTTATAAGTTGTTTGGACACACATATAGACTTAACAATTATGCTTCAGAGCTATAGAAATTCTGAGTTCTGTCTAAATTCTTGTTTGGAGTTCTGATTTATCTGCCTTAATTTTCTTTTATTGATTTTTTCATGCAATTTACGCGGCTATTTGAGTTTGAGGAAATTATTGGTCATTTAGACAGTCAGCCTATATAATTACATGCTTTGGTGTTAAATTATAGATTTAATGTATATTGTATCAAATTAATAGCATAAAAGGAGAGAAAATACTATTGGAGATAAAAATAAGTGGTGGTTTATAGTCATAATAACTAGTAAATGCATATGTCAATGTCATGTTGCAATAAGATTAGAATCACATTCTTTAGCAATCTCTATCACAAATCACCATCTTTTCTAGTTTTTAATGGTGATGAATTTCTGTAGGAAGCACTTAAATGGTTCTGATACATATACAATTTTTCTTAATAAGTTTTTTTAACTAGATAAAGAATTTCCAAAACTCGAAATTATTAGTACTGAATATACATGTGAGCAACAACTAGTTTTTGTGGTGTAATATTCTCTTGTATGGTCCATTCTCACAAGTCACAAGTATCTTATTCTAAAATGTAGCGCAACTAAGGTTCAGTTTTATTGTTTTTGCATCAACATTGCTAGCCTTAGAGCACTCACATCAGTGAGCATTTTTTTGCTCATGAGCAAAAATGGTGAGCAAATTTGTTAAAAATGGTTCCCCATCAATGAGCATATTGAAAAATGCTCATGAGCATTTCTGATTTGCTCATCCTATGAGCAAATTTGAGGATGAATAGTAACTATGTGGGGCCCAGCATTTCTCCAATGTCTCTGTCAGCTTCTTCCTCCAATCAGCAAATATTACCGTTTTTAAACGGTAATTAATTTAAAACGGTTATTTTGGTCGATTTATAATAAAAAAAAAAAATCATCAACAGTTATAATTTTTTTTTTCTCTACAAATAGAGATCCATTTTGACATATTTTGGTATAATTTCAAAAATCACAAAAACACTCTATATTATTCTTCTCCCATTTCTAGTGAGATTTATAATTTATAATTGTTTAGCGATTAAAATTCAATAATATTAATTAATATTTAATAATTGTATTAAGTTAAATAACAGTATAATTGTAATTAGTAGCACTAAAACTTCATTTAACCAAAACATAATTAATAATAATATGGTGATGTGTAAGAGAGAGAGAAATGTTGATGGGGTATGTGAAAAAGTAGGAGAGAGATTGATGAGCAATTTTTTTTTGTTCACTAGTGGGATAATATTTGCTCACAAAAAATGCTCATGGTTGGTAAGAGAGAGAAAGTGGCTAGAGAGAGAATGAGCAAAAAAAAATTTGTTCACCAGTGTGAGTGCTCTTATAATAGTGATCAAACAATTTTCATTTATTTTTTCCATTTTTATAGGACTTTTTTGGAATCCTCGGAGTATTAATGTGTTATCGGAATTTTGAAGAATAATTTTGTTCATCGTTTGGTATAAACTTGTTTAAGCACCATGATCGATCGTGGTGCATCCTATGCATCTTTATTCTTGCATGCTTTGTTGATGCATCCTCATCCTATATTCTGTAAACACAAGGAGCAAAAAAAAAGGAATTTATTGTATTAAAAAAAAGGGCTTTTCTAAGCTACATCTCTAAAGTATTCGAGTTTCTAAGGTGTACCCATACTTTTTCAAGTTTCTAAGTTGTGCCCCTCAACTTACTACCATTGATGAATGGTACCCACCTTGGGACTTCCACGTCACCTAAAGTTAATTATAAATTTAATAGAAAGATGATAAAAGGTAGGAAAATGGTAGGAGAAAGAAATCTTAGCCACCGCAACCCTAATAATGAAAACTGAAGCCACGAAATCACACTCTCAAATAACATTTAAACAACTAATAAGGGTACATTTTAGTATTCATAACGAGTTGAAGGGCACAACTTAGAAACTTGAAAAAACATGAATACACCTTAGAAACTCGAATACCTTAGGGACATAGCTTAGAAAAACCCTAAAAAAAAAAGAGCAGAGATTCCTGGAAATGATAATGAATTAAAGATGCAAAAAAACCCTGGAAATGATTGAAGAATACACAAAGAGTAACACTTTGATAAACATATGGTTCACCTCTTTTCAAGGGATCCAAATTCTTTCTAGAGAATATTTGGTTTTGTTTTTTTTAAAGATTTTATTAAAGTTATTTTCAGTTTGTGCAGTCGCTTGTAAAAAAGCCACTCTCCTTTTTCTCTCCCCTTACAGTAAACAAAAGATGCAATTCAGATTTTCTTTTGTTTTCTTGTACACTTGGTGTACTTTTTTTTTCCCCCCTAAAAAATTCACACTATTTTCTTTGCTTCACTTCATATCCTTATCGGGGTGAATCTTGATCTCACCACCTGTACAATTCTTTTTTAAGCAAAAAAAAAAAAATAAAATCATATTCCTTATTTACCCTTTCATCACCTAAATCGTGTTCAAGTGGAGAAAAGATACACATACACTGATCTATAAGACTCGTGTTCTTATCCCTTAAACGACCCTAAACGTGTTAAATATGCCACTACGAGTAGTACGTAAATTTACCCTCAAAGAGGTATATGTATCACCGTGTCATCGTGTGTTCTAACCCATAGGGACAAGGACCCTAAGAGTGGTATAGTTGCATATCCGTACAAGTTTATGTACATCCAATTTTTTACTATAGATGATGCATGAACTTTGGCACATTTATATGTTTATTCTGTAATGCTAATGTTGATCCATACGCGTCCTCTTTCGCTTTCTACGTGGTATCGATTCTAACACTCTTAATCGGGTTTATAATAATCATGGATTTGGATATCGTACATTAATATCAAGCTTAGATTAAGCATAACATCAAAACTCCATTAACACTAATATAATGGTTTAGGCAAGCATCTGTTGATTGTAGGTACCCCAAATTCTATGTGTCAAATGAGAAGGTTAGGGAATGTATTAATTTAATGTGTATGGAAAAAAATATTATTCCTCTGACCACTAATGAAGTTATGAAGGGCCCTAAATAATCTTTAGATGTCTCCTACAAGTTATACACTGATAAAAATAACAATAATTCATCAGCTAATGAAATACCTGCAATATTATTCCAGTTTGAAGAATTTTTCTTTTGGATACAACATGCTCTAGGTAGGCTTAAAAGCCAAATAGATTTTTAATGAATGTATTAAATTTTACAGAAGAAAAAAAAAACATTAAACTATGTGTTCAGAAATGATTCATAAGTAAGCACCTGATGCTTAGGTCTAGGTTTGATGTTAACTGTCTAGATATGAAAATCAATTACTGATTGTTTTAGATTTCGGGCAAAGGAAATACATCGATTCATTATTCGTTGTTATATACACTCGGATGGTTCGTTGTCAGTTACTGCACTTCTTGCTTCAGTATCTGATTTTAGTTAAATGCAGATGAATTTCTGAATTCAGTAACTTGTGTTGTGTTGCTTATTAGCATTAAAAATATCAAATTTAGAAAGTAATGATATAGCGCAACAGAGCTTAGAATCTCAAGGACATCATGGCTGATTTGTTTAATCCATTGAATATCCTGACAACAATAACCAATGCCAATCTTCATGTCAAATCCGGGGATTAGGGGAGGCAAATGAATGATGAATGATATTTAATCCTGCAATCAACCAAAGATCATATAGAAAATTAGAGAAAATTGTATATTATAAAGTTTTTATGATTATTTGGCTAATATGCTAGTAAGCACTATGGGTGGTGAAATAGTCAGGGAACCCCAAAATAGAAGGGACATAAGTTAGAACCCCTGTTTTCTTATTTTGTTGCTGCAGTGATACAGTACAGATCCTAGCTTGGTTGTCTCAGAAGCAAACAATATTAGAATAATTGAAATTGAAATCAATGGTGATTAATTAAGTGGTGATTAGTTAATTAATTAAGTTTTACAGGTAGATTATCACTTAATACAGGAATAGTGGGGACCACCATTACAAACCCTAATGCCAAGAAGCAATGATATTGGTTTAGAGCTCAGATAAGTAGGATCAACAAATTATTAAAAACAATCTGTTGCCTTTAATATTGACACTCCCTGTGTTTGAGTGCCCATGAAGAAGCATATGACCTTATCATCACTTAACTTTTAGTATATGATTTGGCTACCATGTAGACTCCCTATTTCTTTGTTGGATGCTTCTGCTACATTTTTAATTTCCTCATTATACCTAATTTTATAGACTACGTGTGCCGTTACGTAGTCATCAACGTTTCATCATGATCGTCTTCCTCATCCTCATCACTATGTTATCATTACCACCATCTCGGTTTGTTAAAATATTTGAAGAAAATCTTTTAAAAAGATCACGAGAAGAAAACTGTTAAATATCTACTGTAACTGTTAGTCATCTAATAATCGCTAAATGACAATTGTTCCCCTTTTCCTCGCTAGATAATTATTGTTAGGTGGCTAACAATTAGCTAGATAGCCTTACTTAAAAAGTGAACCAAACTAGGGGCGCACACCCAGATTGATTCACATCTGTAGTATTTAGTACCTAACATGTTAAAGCAAACTTAACTCCTTATTCATATTTTTCAGGGGTCCCAAAGAAAGTAGACTGGCTTTTCGGCGCTAGGGAGTTTTAAAACCATTAAAGGACTTTCATGGGAAACCTTATATTCTTGCTACCAAAAGATGGTCCATACTAGTAAGTGTATTCTATTCTTGGTTCTCATGATCTAGATGGAATTCACATGGTATTACATGCTCAATTATGCATCCATCTCTTCATTTTTAAACCAAGTGCTGCTAATGATGGAGGTTAATGATCACTATTATAATACCAGATTATGAGATGATGCAGATTTTGGCAATCCCATTATCTGCACAAACCCCAATTAACATTTCTTTTTTGGAGGCATCTACTCTATATCCTAAATTTTAATGTCTTCAGGACCACTAAGCAAACAACTAATTACTCGACGCACTTTTCTAATCTCCATGTATTAGTATCTAATCTCCCAGATTATAGAAAGATATTACTTTGGCTGGCTGGCATAAGCAGGTTTTGATGTTGGCAATTACATGAAATACTGTACTTTTTCCAAGACTAATCAATTTTGTTATGATTTATACATGAGCCTCTTCGGCGATGCAGGTTCAGAAGCTCGATTTCGTCAGAGAAATCAGATAACTGATACTTGTTCTCCTAGGCATTATTTACATCAGTAGTTTTCAAAAGATTAGCTAGGAATAAGTTTTTTTGGACAGGTACAGTATCAGGTTCACTAATTCAAGGTAGTTCAGGACCATTCAAACATACATATGGTTGAAAAGAATCAAAGAAAAATTCAACTTCTCAGCGCAATTACATCACCACGTGTTTTATGTTTCTGCAGATCATGTTTGTACTCTTCTTTGTGATGCAATCTAATCTATGGCCAGCTCACCTTCAAAATATCTATCCATGACTCAAAATAAAGTTCTGTAAATTCCATACGACCCATAAGTCGGTGATAATGAACAAATCTAAAAATAATTATGTACGATAAGGTTTAGGTTAGTGTTCATGATAATGCAACAACATTCCCAAAAAACGCAATTTTTATTATTATTCAGTTACCTTAATGCAATCTTAAAAACGTGTTTGGTATGAAGATTTTTAGGGCTGGAAATGAAATTACTTTAGCAAAGGATTACTGATTCCACCCAAAGCACATAATGTTACCCTTCTCAATTTCCCTCCCCCCTCTCTTATTTGAATCTATTCTATTGTAATGGAGTACTAAATAATCAATAGAAAAATTTGGTTCTTAATATCATTTCCCTCTCTCATTCCCAAATGCAAGTGGAAGTAAAAATCTAAAAAAAAATATAGGAATAATTAGGGATGAATAGACATTATCATGGACATTGACAGGAGATGTTTCTTATAAAATCACATATCTAAATAATACATTGACCGTAGAAGTTCTTTTCAAAAACACATAATTAAGTAAAACGTAATTACCATGGACATTAACATAAGATGTTCCGTACATATCATTTATTTAAGTAATTTCCATGGACATTGATAAGAGACATTTCGTACAAAATTACATATCTAAGCAATTTCATCAACAAGTACCGCCTATGACATAGATGGCTGTATACATCCTATATCACTTCTTTGGCGGGGGAACCCAAAGAAGTGAGTTCCACCTCAATTTTGTCATCTTCAACATAATTCATTTCTAGACCCAAAAACAGTGCAACCCACAAAAACTACCTGCTCCTTGTGTTGTTTTATTCAAGGCACATCATTGTCTAACAGTTATTATGCTGATGAATTTCTGATGATTAAGAAAAGTTTATCACTCTAAGAACAGGTTTAACATTGAGATTAGCGCCATAATATACTATATTTCTAGATCCTAAAGTTTGATCTCACAATTATTTTCCAATTAAGAATGCAGGATGTCATCTTCAATCCTTCATAAGTTACACAACAAACACAGGAAACTGTTATGTCAGCTAATATCTTGTATCTTCTAGGGTTGGCATTACTGGTAGGCTGGTAGCTAATGAGGAAACATGCTCCACTAATGACATCAATCATGGTGTCTTATTAAGGAGATTAACTCCCTCTGTCCGGAATTAATAGTCATGTTTACGGTGTGATTTACACAAGTGATGTGACTACACATCCAGACGCAGGTAGTAGTTTCTTAAAGAATATCATAGCAGCAATAGCATGACCAAAATCAGGCTCTTAAATCAGCAATTTGGAAGGAAGTTAAAATTTCAATTTGGAAAAAGGTCAAAGAAATCTTAGATGATGTTGTTATAAAAGATGAAAAGGTTGACATAAAAAACATCTTTAGTAAGTAATGGTAATAATGAGTTTGTGTCTACTTTTGCAAGGACAATCTCATGCTAAGGTACACGGTTTTTCTTTTTTTTTTTTTTTTTTTTTTTTTTTTTTTTTTTTTTTTTTGGGTGGGTAAGGAGAACAACCCTACTAGACCGGGACCTCTTAGAAGTAAATCAGCCTAGTTACCCAAGTTTGACTCTTGGGAATGGGAGGAAGGATAAAGGAATCGCCACCCCCAAGTAACGCAGTTGGAAGGAATCAAACCCATGACCTTGGGGTCATTCTAAGATACACAATATTAGAGTAATGCAACCCAATCTCTCAATAACGGCTCAAAGGTGCTACAATAGGGATATAGACATCAGTATGAAGGAAAACTATAGTAAACCTACACAACCTGCAGCCCATATAGTTATTTAAATCTACCAATCAAAAAATCAGTGTTTAAGAGAGTTTCCAACCCATATGGCCTATGTTCATATATACACAGTAAGAAGCACATTGGACAAGTTTTTCAAGTCCTAGACTCCTTCTATAATGCTAATAACTATCCTCAAGAAAAAAAGCGTAATGAGAGCTGCCATCTTACCTCTTACCGACACAGATAGATGAGGTAAAGAGTACCAATTTTCAATCATTCATCCTCCAGTAAGAATTGAGTTAGAAACTGACTTAAGCTCAAATTTGAAGGTTAAATTCATAAAATTTCAGTAGAGAGGATTAATCTTTCTCAGAAACTGGTGAAGTGTTTAGCATATATGTTTGGTTATGTACTAGCAATCAAGATACCGCATCAAGACTCACATAGTGGGATAAAATTTCATTAATCAGAAGACTTTTACACGTTCATTTTGAAAAAATCGGGTCTAATATACATAAAATGAGTATTCTCCAACATTCAAGTTTTTGGAGCAATTAACTTCGAATAAAGTTAAAATTTGTGCAACTCACGCAGAAACAGTATAGGGTGTCAATATGAGATGTCTAGTTTACCATAAAATCAAGCGTTGAAGACTCTGAAAGAATCAACGACGGTGTATAATCTGTCTTTCATTTTGTCCCATCTCCTTTCATTTGCTCCTGTTGTCAAGGTGTAGAACTTACCTGCAACAATAAGGAGCCACCACAAAATAGTTACATTGACATTCTTTTGGATGATAAAAATGAGAACATCTTAGACATCAGTCAAAGTAGCAGTTTACAAATACACGGCATGTACGTCTTCATACAGTATAAATGTATAATTCCATCCTGAGTGGACTGAAGGATGGGGTAGAGCTTTTTTTAGTCCATCTATCATCATTTGGATACAAATTATTGTGCCATGACACCATGTTACACACCAATCCAGACAAAAATAAACTACTGTAAACTTTGTTGAGCTCAGTAATAATGTAAAGATGTTAAAACTATCACTGAATTGTTTAAGTGAATATAGTACGATTGTACTAGACCTACTAGTACTATATTCCATAACAAAATGCAAACCATTTGAGAGTTTAATAATGACGGCCAAAACTTTGCTCATGACTTTCACGGCACACAATTTATTGCCAAACATTAGTAGACACGTGATTATTGACTAGGGATGTTAACAAACTATTCGAGCTTGGCTCGAAAATTATATGAGATTGAACAAGTTCGTGAACAGTAACAACAACAAAGACTTAGTCTCAAAATAAGTTTGTGCACAGGCTCAAACTTATTGGTAGGATTCAAGAATAATTAAATACAATTAATAAGTTTGTGAACAAGTTTGTGATGTAAAATAGAATAATTTTTAATTATTCTATTTTACATATTATAGCATCCAACTTAATACTGTAGTAAAAAAGTGTGTAGTAATGTTGAGAAACTCAAAAACAATAGCAAAAACATAGTTATGTAAAAACATAATATAAGATTTGAACTCAAGCAAAGTATATGGTAAGTTGAACATGAGAATTTAAAATCGAAAAAGCTTGAGACTCGCCTCGAGTCTAAATCATTGTGCCATGAAGCAGGTAGTTAACACCCTTATTTATGAAGATGCAATGTAAAATCACAAGTTAATACAGAGGTTTATACTTAGTGGTAGGATTCAAGAATAATTAAATACAATTGATTTAAATTCTATGAATTGTATCAAATAAAAAAAATTAAAATAAAAAGAGGTTACTTTTTCTATTTTGGCTTTCACAAAAAGAAAGTCATATTTCCTAAATTATTAAGACTAGTATAATTTGGAAAATGATTTTTTTTTTTTCTTTTTTTTTCCCACCTAATGTAATAGCTTATGTTTTTGTAAATGAAAGATGATTTTATTTCATACCCTTGTTAATGCAGATTACACTTAGAGCATGGCGGGTATAATTTGGCGCTTGGGCAGTGAACTCAAATGTGTAATACGTTTTGCCTTCAACATCTTGCTGCAAGCAGATTAAATTAATAAGCATCTATGCATTTAAAACAAGTATAAGATCATTAAAAATAGTAATGTCATTTAAAATATACAATTTAAACAGCTTAAGTGTGAAGGGCAGAAGTCAGAATGAGATTCTAATAAAGAAATATGGCCCGATCAATACAAACTGTCACTCTATATTAATTGGTTAAGTCTTGGGGTGAACCTAAAACTTAGGGTCAAATCCTGTCTGCGTCAATTCACCACCCTTTATGAATTTGTGACTCCTTATAGACCCCCAATCTAACCAGAAAATAAATAAAAAGGTCACTTCCCAACCCTTGTTCAATTCACCAACAATCCTGCAAATAGAAATGCCAATTTTTTTTTTTTTTTTTGCTTTGCATTCATACCTATAACCAAAATTTAAGTATCAAATTTATTGTTTAACTGCATTCTTAAAAATTTGTTTAACTGCATTCTTAAAAATTGGTCCTTTACCTATTATTTTTTCAAATTTATTATTGTTTATTTTTGGGCATGTAAGACGGAGATCTGAGGGTGCATCGGTTCGAAGAGTGGGACCATGGAGGGGTTAAACAAGGGAGAGGGAAACCGAAAATGACTAGGTTGGAAGGATTTAGGAAGGATGATGGGCTCGTCTTTCCATCCACGACACCCACGTGGGTCCACACTTTGTCCCAGCCGGAACCACCGCTATGGTCAACATGTACGCCATCACCCACGACGAGAAGATCTGGTCGGACCCCAACGAGTTCAAACCCGAGAGGTTCATGGAGGAGGATGTTCCAATCATGGGTTCAGACCTGAGGTTGGCACCTTTCGGAGCAGGACGTCGTGTCTGCCCCGGAAAGGCAATGGGTATGGCTACTGCTCAGCTGTGGTTGGCTCAGATGCTTCAGAACTTCAAGTGGGTTCCAACCGAGGACGGTGTGGACTTGACCGAGTGTCTCAAGCTTTCAATGGAGATGAAGTCGTCTTTGGTATGCAAGGCTGTTCCTAGGATCTCTGCTTAAATCAACTAGTCTTATGTGTGTGTGCTATTATAGCCACTAGTAGTACTTTTAAATAAGGACTAACATAAGTGATCTTTCTCCATAATTTTGCACATTTCGGAAATAGAGAAATTGTCACATAGATTAAAGCTTTCGAACTTAGTAGTTTGTTAGCTTTAGATGGTTGGTAAATTAATAAAATGTGTAGTTTGTTCGAAAACCAAAAATTAATGTTAATTATCTGTTTTTAGTATTTGGTTTGGTGCTCTTAATTTTCTATTTTTCTGCTTTTTATTTCCTGATTTTACTTGCAGTTTATGCGGATATTTTATAGAATAATTAGTCATTTAGACACTGCCTTAAATTCTTCTTAGTTTCCAATTTTTTTTAGTTTAAAATTCTTGTTAGTTTCCAATTTTTTTTGTTAAGTTTAAAATTCGTCAAAAAATAAAATAAAAAAATTCTCTTTAGTATCTTTGTTTTGAGCTACAACTTTTCTAATTCTCTGAATTTTAACTAAACTCTTGTTAATTTCTTGTTTTAGTATCTTGCTTTGAGCTCTTACTTTTCTCATTCTCTGACTTCTATCTAAATTCTTGTTAATTTCTTTTTTTGAGTATCTTGTTTAGAGTTCTTATTTTTCTGATTTTTTTTTTCCTTTTTGCTTTAATTTGCTAGGGAGTACACTTTGCTAGGATAATTTAATGAAAATTAAGGCATGAAAGAGATGGGAGTCATTTGGACAGTCATGCTAAATAATTACTCCGTACATTCTTTGGATACTAATTATAGATTAATTTACATATATTATTAAATTAATTTAGAAGTCATTTGGACAGTCATACTAAATAAATACATGCTTTAAATGTAATTAACTAATTATAGATTAATTTACGCACTTTATCAAATCAATAGCACCAAAAAAAAGAGGAAAAAAAGTACTCGTATTGGAGATAATAAAGTGTGGTGGTTTATAATCATAATAACTAGTAAATGCATGCGTCAATGTCATATCGTTGCATTAAGATTAGAATCACATTCTTTAGCAATCTCTATCACAAATCATAATCTTTTAGTTTTGATGGTAATGAAGTTCTGTAGAATGCACTAAAATTGTACTGATGAATTAAACATACATGAGTAATATTTTATTAGACAAAAGCTAATGAGCGCCCCCGGGGCGTTAGATAATAGAATTAAAGTGTAAATATTAGAGTAAAATTTACATTAATTACACCGAACGACGCGTGATTTTGTCATAAATTCCTAACTTAATACCATTTTCACCAATATAATTTATCCTTAACTAACGCCCCGGGGTGCTCGTTAGCAAGATCGATTTTATTATAAGTTTCGTACAAATAGATAAATAAATAACTTAAATACCAAATTACTAGATGAAGCCCGTGCGATGCACGGTTTGTTAGTATTTTTTTAAAAAAATATTTTCATATTTATGTGATTAAATTGTTATTATATTAGTTTTAAAATATTAGATAAAATACCTAATCTCGCTCTAAAGATAATATTTTGTATTTAATTAATTTAAACTTTAAAATCTCATTCGTCAATTTTTCATACGTGACATTTGAATTATTTAATTGTAAAAGAAATTAATAATCTCTTATTTAATTGGCTACAACTTAAATTTATAATCCTACATGGCGCGCTAAAAAAATTAAATCCTACATGGCTCTCTAAAAACTCGGGGAAAAACTCCCCTTTATATATATATATATATTAGATTGGTAAAAACTAAAAATGTTAGCGACCATGATCAATTTTTGTTGTGTAAAGTTTTCTAGTATGGACCATTCTCAATTTCTCACAATTATCTTGTTCCAAAATATAGAGCAATTGAAATTGATGAGTGAAAATCCAAACATGAAGGTAAATTATATTTTTCTCAAATGATTTTTTAATTGATGTAATCTTTTCTTGTATATGGGAATTGACGATATGAGATAAACCTACATTTAATAGGATCATTGAAATAGATAATACGAGTAGAAGAGAGCGATGAAGTTGAGTAATTTCTTAATTTTATTTGTTACTCCGCTATAATAATGATTAAACCTGGGCACGGGCCGGGTTGGCCCGCGTGCCGCCCGGCACGGCCCGAAGTCAAGCACGGCACGGCACGAAGTTCAACTTCCGTGCCACGGACAGGGTTGAGAATTCCCAGGCACGGCCCGGCACGAGCACGGGCATGACCCGCCGTGCTGGCCCGCGGGCCAACGGTAATGTTACCGTTTCATGTAGCTAGAAGCCAAAAAAACGGCTATAAAACGGCTAGTTTTTTGCCAATTTGCTCCCCAAAAATTCTATAAATACTCACCTCCATTTCATTCCCAAATCACAAAATCACAATCTCTTCTTCTTATCTCTTATATTCTCTAAATCTCTAATAATCCTTATTTTCTTAAATTCTCTAATTATTCTCTTAAATTCTCTAATTATTTTCCTAATATCGGAAAAAATTAAAAAGTTCGTAATTGTAATTAGTGGAGCGTTGAAGCACGGTTGTAAGATCTAAACTAATCTTAAATCTATTATTGTTTTATTGTTATTATTAGAATAATCTTGTTTAATTATTATTGTTGTTAATTGTTATTGTTGTTGTTATAATTGTTGTTATTAATTATTATTATTGTTACAATTGTTGTTATTATTTATTTTTGTTGTTATTGTTATTGTTATAGTTGTTGTTATTAATTAATATTATTGATATTTTTATTGTTAAAATTGTTGTTATTAATTATTATTATTATAGTTAACCACTTTTTATTAAAAAATTAATTGTTAATTATGGCATCGAACAACCCATCATCTAGGTCTAGGGGGAAAGACCGACTTATCCGTAGTAGTAGTTCTAGGGAACCACCAAATACAACGAGCCCCCAAATTACGAGTCAAACCAATGACCCCATTTACTTCCCCCCGGGCTATGAGCCATATAATACGTCGGGATTTCCAGCACCACCACTAAACCAATTTCCACTACCACCATACCAATTTCCACCTAATTATATCGGTAATCAACAAAACTATTGTTCTAGCCAAGGTAGCCAAGAAAGTACCCGAATTCCCTCCGGTTCTACCCCTTCTACTGCCACTCCCACTAGTCTCACTACTAACCATCACACACATCATGAATGGTTAACCGAAACTGAGATGCTACTTTTGAAAAACCGAAGGAGTGAGGTATGGCGTTATTTTGTCCTAAGTAAAGATGGTGAACAATGGGCAAAATGTAAAACATGTAATAGTGTATTCACGGCAGTTACCAAAAACGGGACGGGACACTTATCTAGACACATGAAAGCTTGTGCAAAACCAGCTAGTGATCCAACCCAGCCCAAAATTTCCCAATTCCATCCATACGGCTTTACATACAACTATGAGAGGGATAGGGATGAACTAGGAAAAATGATAGTACACGCCGAACAACCTTTTCTTTTCTCGGAAAGTGACGCATTCAACACCTACATTAACAAAGCACTACAACCCCAACATAAAAGAATCTCTAGGAAAACCGTTCGTTCCGCCGCAATGAAAAATTTCCTAGAGTACAAAGTCCGGTTACAAGCCGAATTGAGTAACCTTAACTGTAGAGTATCTTTAACAGCCGATTCTTGGGATAGTGGTTATAAATATCACTATTTATGTGTGACTTGCCATTGGGTAGATGATCAATGGATGTTACAAAAAAGAATAATACATTTCAAAATGCTGGAATACCCACACACCGGCATTAACATTGCTCACCATTTAATGCAAGCAATAGACGAATACAACCTTCGAGATAAAATGATGTCTATGACTTTTGATAATGCAACCTCTATGACATACACAGCTAATCTTATCAAACAAAACTTAACCGATGTACTATTAGACGGTGAAGCTCTTCATACTAGATGTGTTTGCCATGTACTTAACTTATGTGTACAGGATGGAGTTCGGGCAATTGGCCCATACTACAGCAAAATCAGAGATGCTATTATGTCTATTAATAGCTCTAACATGAGATACCAAGAATGGAAGAGTTTTCTAAAACAACAAAAGATAAGGGTAATAAAAATTAGAACCGATTGCCCAACTAGGTGGAATTCCACCTATGACATGTTAACAAAGGCAATTGAGTACAAGGGCCCGTTAACATTATTTTACAACCAAAAATTTCCACAAAATGCTTTGTGTGATGATGATTGGAAAAACTGTGAAAGATATATGCAATTTTTACAGTTATTATATAACATGACGTATTGTTTTTCTACTGTTTACAATCCTTGTGCTCAAAACTTTCTTTCTAATGCATGCTTACTCGCCCAACTTTTCGCTGATCATCGCGATCAAAGTGATTATGATCAGTATCTTCCAACAATGGAAAAAAAGTGGCGTAAATATTATAGTGAGATTCCTTTGATTTATATTTTTGCTTCCATATTAGATCCTAGGCAAAAGTATGAAAACACATTTATGTTAGTTGACATTTACTTTCAATGCATGTTTCTTGACGATGATGTAGAAAACTATAAGACTAATGTGAAGGGTCAGTTTTTTGCTTTATATAGAGTCTATGAAGCCAAATATGGCACCGTTCCTCGCTCAGGGCCTTCCCAACCATCCAAAAACGTAAGTAAGAAGGCCAAACATTTATTTTCACAAGCTACTAACTTGATTTCAAGGTTTTCAGGTGATTCATCAATCAGGAGAACGCAAAGCGACGTCTCGGAGTTGCAGATGTACCTGAGTTACGACTTCACCAAAGGCATGGACGACGATGAGATAAACAGCCTCGACCTCCTTGCATGGTGGAAACAACAAAGCTCGAAGCATCCAACTTTGGCGGCAATGGCACGAGACATTCTTGCTATCCAAGTTTCCTCCGTCGCCTCCGAACGAGCTTTCAGCGCATCCGGAAGGGTTTTAGACGATAGAAGAACAAGTCTAAAACCCGAAACACTAGAAATGTGCGTGTGTTTCAAAGATTGGTTGGATGCGGAAAATCGCTCACAAGACCGTTCTTACGACCACAACGACAACGAAGAAGGAACCTCCGCTTCCGGTTCGGGTTCGGCTAGTTCCCAATCTATGCAACTAGCCGATGACCTTGAAGGCGAAGACGAAGACGAAGACGAAGACGAAGACGAGCAAGAAGAAGGAGAAGAAGAATAGACAATTATTGTATATTGTACGATTTTAAAAATATCAATTTTATCATTTTCCAATTTTTGT